CGGATGATACCCACCCAACGTTGGCGGGTACATCCCTTTTGGCTAAGAATTTGGCCCTGGCTCTAAACTGTTCTGGTCGGCTCAAATGACGATGCAGAACTGAGGCCCGGGTGCAGAGCTGCTCTGCCACAACCTCTGAGCCCCCATCTGTTCAGTTACTAGCCTCAGAAGCTAGTCAGATTGAAACTGTGTGTGCATGTGTGTGTGTGCCTGTGTGTGCTCAGTTACTAGCCTCAGAACCTAGTCAGATTGAAACTGTGTGTGTTCCCCGCTTGAAGTCTAAAGCACTATATGCGAGGAAATCTGACCTAGGTGTCAGACACAGTAACTTAATAAAAGTTCAGACAGACAGAAATAGTTCTAGCGGTAGGGTTGTTAAATGTGGTTTAATGAACGTCAGATCAATCTCGTCTAAATCGCTTCTCATAAACGAACTTATTATAGACAAGGGCTTGGATCTGTTTGCGCTCTCGGAGACTTGGCTCCAACAGGACGACTACGTTAGATTGAATGAGTGCACTCCTCCGACGCATGTTAACTACCAGAAAGCCAGAGCTACAGGTCGCGGCGGTGGTGTTGCGATTATATCACACACCAACTTGGTTCTTAGTCCCAAAACCAACAACGCTTTTCACTCGTTTGAAAACTTAACACTTTCAATCACCTGTCCTGGGTGGAGAAAACAAAAAGCAGTACTATTTATAGTTTTATACCGACCTCCTGGTCCTTACAGCGAGTTCCTAACAGAATTCTCTGACTTCATTTCAAACCTAGTTTTGGAATGGGAAAACATAGTTATAGCTGGAGACTTCAATATACATGTGGACGACAGCACTGACAGCTTAAACAAAGCTTTCAGCGCCGTACTAGATGGTGTTGGTTTTACTCAGAATGTCGAGGAACCTACTCACATTCATAACCACACCTTGGACCTTGTCCTGACCTACGGCTGTGATGTCTCCAATGTTGACATCCAGCGTCAAAGCTCGTTGCTGTCTGACCATTTCTTGATCACGTTTGATCTCGCTTTGGAGGACTTTCCTGTCCCGCAAGATAAAACCATAATGAAAAGAACCTTAAATGATAAATCTATCACAAGGTTCAAAGAACTAATACAGCCTATGTTGAATACTGCTGCAGGTGAACCTGTTCACAGCAGCTGCAGTCCCTCAGTCATTGACCAAACGGTGGGCAACACTATGGAGTCTTTAAAATCTGCATTAAATGCAGCAGCTCCTTTAAAACAGAAAACCATTAGGATTAGATCATCGTCGCCCTGGTACAGTGTTCAACTCCACACTTTAAAACAGGACGTCAGAAAATTGGAGAGGCTATATCGCCACTCCCACTCGGAGCCTGTCCACAGGGAGTGGAAAACAGGTCTCCGAAACTACAAGAAGGCCCTTCGCGGGGCTCGAACTCAATACTATTCAACTTTAATAGAAGCGAATAAAAACAACAGTAGATTTTTGTTTGGTACCGTCGCTAAACTCACAAACTGCCATAGCGCAATCGAGCCTAAAATTCCAAGCTCACTGAGCAGTGTCGACTTTCTCCACTTCTTTAATAATAAAATTACATCCATCCGTGACAAGCTGGAGGAGGTTGCTCCTGCTGTTAGTGGTGGACAGGTTGAAGCGGCATACGTGACTTCCCACTTAGACTCTTCAGTGGGCCTTAATAAATTCATGGCTGTGAGCCAAGCAGAGGTGATCTCTGTGGTCACATCCTCAAAAGCCTCAACTTGCATGTTAGACGCAGTCCCGACATGGCTCTTCAAAGACATACTTCCTTTGATAATTGAGCCTATCGTAAATATAATAAACGCATCCATACAATGTGGCTATGTCCCACAAGCTTTTAAAACCGCGGTAATCAAACCCCTTCTGAAGAAAACAAACCTGGACCCAGAAATACTTACAAACTACAGACCGATCTCGAACCTCACTTTTATATCTAAAATCCTGGAAAAACTTATAGCTGAGCAGCTCCGCTGCCACCTGCAGGAAAATGATATGTTTGAAGTCTTTCAATCTGGATTCAGAGCTCATCATAGCACTGAAACGGCACTAGTCAAAGTCACAAATGACTTACTACTAGCTGCCGATAATGGACAAGTGTCAGTGCTGGTCCTACTGGACCTTAGTGCTGCATTTGACACAATAGACCACAGCATTCTACTGCAGAGGCTAGAATGTGATATAGGTCTTAGAGGAACAGCCCTTGGCTGGTTTAAATCCTATTTATCAGATCGGTATCACTTCGTCAATGTGAATCAGGACTCGTCGCCTTATTCTGGAGTGGAATTCGGTGTGCCGCAGGGTTCGGTACTCGGACCGATTCTTTTTACTCTCTACATGCTGCCACTGGGAAACATTATTAAAAAGCATGGAATTAATTTCCACTGCTATGCAGATGACACACAGCTTTATCTGTCGATGAAGCCTAATCAGACAGATCAGCTAGAAAAGCTCAGTGCCTGCATAAAGGACCTTAAAATGTGGATGACTCTTAACTTCCTACTTCTCAACCCGGAGAAGACAGAAGTGATCCTACTCGGTCCGAAGCGCCTGCGTGACTCCCTCACTAACCAGATGGTTACTCTCGATAATGTCAGTATAATACCCAGTAACACTGTGAGGAATCTTGGAGTCATTTTTGACCAAGAACTCTCCTTCAAGGCTTATATAAGCCAAGCAACTAAAACGGCGTACTTCCACTTACGGAACATCGCTAAAATTAGGAATTTCCTTCCTAAAAGTGACGCGGAAAAACTCAGATTCACGCGTTTGTCGCCTCAAGGCTCAACTACTGTAACGCTTTACTGGCAGCGTGCCCTAAAGCCTCTTTGAAGAGCTTCCAGCTCGTTCAGAATACAGCAGCTAGGATCTTAACAGGTACCAAAAGGAGGGAGCACATAACTCCGGTGTTAAAATCACTCCACTGGCTCCCTGTGGAGTACAGAATAAAGTTTAAAATCCTACTCTTAACATATAAAGCCATAAATGGCTTGGCTCCTTCTTATCTCCAAGACACGTTAGTGTCGTATCAACCAAGTCGAGCGTTGCGCTCACAAAACGCCAGACGTCTGGTGGTCCCTAAGGTCTCAAAGGTCACTGTTGGTGGCAGAGCATTTAGCTACCAAGCTCCTTTACTGTGGAATCAGCTTCCCATTTATGTTAAGGAAGCAGATACGGTCTCCACATTCAAGGCCAGGCTTAAAGCACTTTACTTTAATTTAGCATATACATTTAGAGGCGCCGATGTGTTCATGTCTCTGAGTTTTCACAATGTAAAGGAGGAGAGGATGTATAGAGAAGTTTGATTTTAGTGGGGTTGCAAAAACAAATGCATTCCTTATCACTTCAGTTCATTTTTCTTTCCAATAACAGAATACATTTTACAGAAAACTTAGTAACACAGGCAACAAGGAATCGTTTAAGGATTTTACAATTGACAAGCAAAAACCACAGAAAATGTGCACAAAAAATAAAAGCAATTATCTACATATTCATGCTTTTTTGTCATAGATTCAAAAATATAACTTGCTTTTCATCCAATTTTTTCTGTTTGTAGTCGTAGGTTTAATCAATTTATTGGAGAAATAGCTTGTTGGCTCTGGCTCAATCTGGTTCAAACCGGTTTTCTCCAGTTCTCTCCAGTGCACACAGGCAGAGTGGGGAGAGCGAGTGAGAGAGAGAGAGAGCTGAAGACTGCACGCACACACACACACACACACACACTTACATACGCACACACCCACACACCCACACACACACACTTACATACGCACACACACATACACACTTACATACGCGCACACACACATACACACACGCACACACTTACATACGCACACACACAGCTCATTGGTTTATTCCCAGATGTGGGGGGTGTGGCTGCACAAGTTAGGAGTTCTGTGGCAGATTTCAATTGCAATTAGATTCATGATTTCAATGTAATTCACATAAAAACACTAAATGTGTCCAGAGAAGAACATTGAACTATAGTTTGTGGAATAGTGCGTTTGTTTGGCCCCAGGACATAGTTACTCGATTCCGGAACTAGATGGTAATCTGTAGCTCACATTCAATCAATCAACTTATATTCATAGAGCCCTTTACATCACTCGAGGCGACCAAAGCGCTTTACAATAAAATCACATCAAAAATTCAAACAATAAAACAGTTAATAATAATAATAATAATAATAGTAATGCATTGGTTTTATATAGCGCTCTTCTGGACACTCAAAGACACTTCACATGTCATTATTCTTTGACTCCAGACACGGTGATGATAAACTACTACTGTAGCCACAGCTGCCCTGGGGCACACTGACAGAAGCGAGGCAAACAGTCTGTGCCATCGGCCCTTCCGATCACCACCAACCATTCACACACACACCAGACTGATTCTATGGAATGTGAGTGAAGTGTCTTGCCTAAGGACACAATAACAGGTTGGCACTTTACAGCCGCAGCCGCTCCACTGTGGCACCTGGTGTTCCCTTAGGTCTCCCATCACAGAACTAACCATGCCCGGCAATGCACAGCTTCAGAGGTCTGACGGGATCTGGCTTCCGCATACAAGTTTGGCCACACAGTAAAACAATGTTCAAAAGTGTCATTGTGTAATGTGTGTTAAAAGTGTTAAAAGCCAGTCTGTAAAAATAAGTTTTGAGCCTCGATTTAAAAAGCCCAAAACCAGTGACTCTCGTAGATCAGGAGGGAGCTGGTTCCAGAGTCCGGGTCCAGAGACTTAGATCAGGACTGTCAGAACTGAAACATCTACCCCCATGTTTCGCTCATTAATTGAACATGCAGCTTCTCTTTCCCTGGAAGAGGTCTCACACATTCTTGCAGTTTTAAAATCAACTCATCAGAGGGAAAAACTTCAACTGCTGCTAACCACCGACCAGATAACTATTAGAAAAACTAAACATATTTTCATCAATATTGAATTCATATTGAAACGACTACATTGTTGTGTTTGTAGGTGATGGGGATCAGTAATCCTGACAAATATCAGTCGTCTTATCGATCCATGCATGGATCAGTCATCAACTATGCCTGTGACAGGAGCCTCGTGGTAAGAAGAATTTATGTTTGGTTTTCCGTCAGTGGCAGATTTCAGTTTTTCCAAGATATTAGGGAGAAACGTAATTAAATACTGTATTATCTTTGTCAAAATCCACATGAGAGTTTTCACCTCTGCTATGTTCTCTGATGTCCCGTAGAGCACAGACCACCACTAAGAGGTGCAGTTTCATTCTTGTAAAAAGTGGACAAATCTGGTGCTCTGGGTCACATCCAGGTATTAATCATACTTTTTCCACATAAGTCATGGATTCATCTATGGGCTTCTGGAAAAGCATCAGCAGTTTTGGTTTTGGCTTTGATGTGTAATAAACTAGGTATTACGTTTTTATTTGTTTGCTTTCAAACATTCTGGTTATTCTGGCGGTGGTTGGCGCTAGTGCTTCACAGCGAGAAGGTCCTGGGTTCAATTCCACCTCAGGACCCTTCTGCATGTTATCCCAGTACCTGTGAAGGTTTCCTGTGGGTGCTCCGGTTTCTCCAACCACTAAAAAGATGGATAATACCAACATATACTGTAGTCTTTGTCATACTAGCTCTTTTGTTTTGATTTAAGTCCAATACAAATATAAAAAGAACTGTTTTCTTAGACTTAGCCTTAATTGTAAACAAGAATTCTTTACTTGGGAATGACTGCTCGGGCACATACAGACATTTAGATAAATTCATTTATTGATTCATCCAGCAGCAGAAACGCATCCATCCACACAAACAAATAAATACGTCATTCTAAAAGTTACAAACATCAGTAATAAAGTGCAACAGAAGCAGAGATGGAGTAGCCACATCTTCCTCTCTTCCAGGTTTCTATCCTCAGGTCGATGTCTGCAGAGTCTGCTTGATTCGGACCATTTTCTCCACTGAATACTTAAAGATGCAGTCAGGGATTTTTTTTCAGGGATTTTTTTTCAGACACATTTTTTTAAATATTGTGGGAAAATGTCCCTAAACCCTAAAAGTAGTCAATTTATCATGTGTTTTCAAAGTAATGGTAATGGAATTGACCAGATGCCATAGTCTCCAGAAATTAATAAATAATATTTTGGTGCGGACCGATAAAAATAAACCAATGGGATTTGTTCACCCCCAACGAACCAATGGGATGCGTTTACCCCCTTCACCCTCTTCCTCTCGCGAGTGCACCTGAGTTATTGAATTTTCTAAAACCTTAAATGGCTGATCAGAAAATCCCAATTTCACATTTGCTGCTCACTCTCCATGTGTGTGACAAAGAAAATAAAATGCTGGATGTTTGGTGGAGAGGGGAGTGGTTTCCAGTTGGTGCTACGGCTAAGCTAACAAAATCGCTTACTGCATCTTTAATTAACATTTAAAAAAATAGTATTCTTCCAGTGGATTTACGATTCATCTGAACAACTTGAATAAATCAATAAAAATGGCGTTTATATTGCCCAATTGTGATTTCTTGTTTTAATAGAGAGCTGGAATAGTGGGCAGCCCTGATGGACAGTGATTTGTTTTCCAGGGGAACATTTTGCTGAACGGAAATGCAGCCCGGGTCATTGAGCGGTACTTGATGTTCACTGATGGCATGGCCTACGGTATCGACCAGATCCTGGAACCTCCAGGCCTGGGCGCTCACTGTGATGACATTACCAACAAGACCACATATGTGAGCATTGGACACACCTGGTTTTTTTTTCCAATGAAATAATTTGTATTGATAATTCATTGTTATAATGTGCCGTCCTGTACAGGGGTGTCTCTGTTTGCCAGTCGTCTCAGTTAACTGCTTTTCTAATTGCAGCAGTGTAGTTCAGTCCTGTTTAGTGTTTGATAATGCATTACTACTCCACACATGGTGTTTGGAAGCTATGACACTTGCCACAGATGCCCAGGGGCAGCCTAGTGGAAGCAAGGCTGCCAATCAGTCCCTCCAACCACCAACAATCATTCATTCACACGTCATAGAGGGACATGTGGGTGGAGTGTTTTGCACTTACACTGTAAAAAGACAATCTTAGATAATTTGTCTTAATTAAAGTAGCAATATGTAATTTTTTTATGTCAAGTCATCATTAAATTGCTAATGCCTAATCTGTGAAAAGGCATTAATAAACCATGTTATTTTAACTGATAGCAGTTGAACCTGTCAGCTAACCCATTAAAAGCCTAATTATTTTGGCTTTCTCCACTGGTTTCTGCTGTGTGTTAATGTGTTAATTTTAAGGACTTTTCAGTGATTTCATTTGTTTATATTTGTTGACCTGCCTTCAATGGTTTATGTTTTCAGGGCCAGTGTGGACGCTGCCTGAATCCTCCTTCCTGCCGTCGCCTGAGACACACAGACACGGTCAGAGATCCTTAACCTTTACCCAGGGATATTTACTTTCTCATGCTGCTCGTATCAATAATGCTCAATTAGTGATAATCTTGTGAGCATGTATGCCTATAAATAATATTTTCAGGTATATAGGCCAATAAAGCCTTGTCAGATTGAGGAAATTCCCCTGGAGTGCAAACCAACATGTGGTCAGTTATGTTGCTGAAATCCGCGGGCAAGAGCAAGACTCATACAGAGGGATTCTTTAGAACTTCTTTAGATTCAGAACCAGGCGACACGCAAACGGCACAGAATCTGGACCCCAACTCCAGAGCACACATGACAAGTCACAATATTCATGTCAGCGTGTCAAGCCCATATTCTGACTGCATTATGAACACCCCTTGAATAGGCGTAAAAGCTAATTCGGGACTCACCAACAGACAAAGAGCAGAAGCGAGAAACTGCTGCCACCACAGGCACGGCTCCTGTAGACCCGTGGGAGGCTGAAAAGCATCCCCTCACGGGAGTTGCAGAGTACCCAAAACCCTGCAATCAGAGCCAGGTGCACAAGGAGAGACGCTGGAGGAAAGGCAGGGGGAGGGGAATTCTAACCACCACATCCATGATTTAGATTCTGTTCATTTCCTTGAGTGTGGTGAAATTGAATCAAAGCTTGTACAAATTTGTGTCAAAACGGAAAACATGTAATTGTGACGCCGTGAAGCATTCATCCTCTTACAAGATATTTTTCAATTCAAACCATTCTCATAATGTATCTGCTGATGGGTTGTTTTATATTCAGGCTGTGAGTTTAAAAACCCCACTGTCTCATTCTTACTTTCATTAGAATCATTCAATTAAATGTGTTCTTGTATAGCCCTAAATCTCCACAGGACTTATCTCAGAGGATCAGAGAATCAAACACAAGAAATGCAACGATTAAAAAAAACACATAGAGCAGATGACTAATGTCCATAAATGCTGTTGAATGTCAAATGTCCTGGACCCTCCTGCATCTGCAAGGAATCTTTCAATCTCTTTTCAAATCTGTTTTCCTTTTTTTCATAGCAGGTCTGTAACAAAAGTTATCATTATCTGAAAAATCAGCAAATTCACATGGTTTTATGAAACAGAATTCTGATAAAAACAGGTTTAAAGTTAGACATTCTAAATAGAATCACCACAATCAAATATAACATGTTAACTTTGAATTACTCTGTTATGGCACACACTTATTTTAGTCACTATGTTGTAAAAGATAAACAAATGTTACTTTGGCACCAATTAAACACACAAACCTCATGAATTAGATGGAAATCAAGAATGATTTCAAAATTCAATGAATTGAATTTGTTTTACAAAACTTTTCTAACTCTTCTTTTTTAGTTTCTTTCTCTTCATAAGTTACTGAACATTATATATGTATTAGACCAGTGGTTCTCAAACTTTTCACACCAAGTACCCCCTCAGAAAATACTTGCCTCTCCAAGTACCACCACAAATGACCACACCACACAGTAGCGTAGTAAGCCGAAGTATTCATCAATAACAAGGCAGAGGTTTCATTCCTAAAGAAGTATATTTAATGTAATATTTTACAGTTTCAACAGTATGACTGCGCTTAAATATAGGAAAAAAAATTGTTTTACATTTTTTATTCATTGCGAACTGCAAAGCTTCACTGTGAATGATATTCTGGAGTGGGATCTTTTGTCCACAGAAGGTTTGGACACTGGTGCACTTTAGTTTCTAAGGCTTGCTCTGCTGCCCTCTTACATCAGTCGTTTACTCCAAGAGACATGTTCATATGGTTTGGATCAAACAATCGTTTGTTGCTCTCTGTTCCTTTTGCACAGAACTGGGAAAAAAACTGCTCCTTCTACATGGAACGTGTTGCAAAAAGACTAGAAATGATCTGATCTTATTTCCTTGAATGCTTTTAGATCCAGATTGAGACATCTTCAGTGAAATGTAACTGTTTTTATAATCCGTAATTTTATGAAATTGTGTGTTACTGTTGTATAATCTGTATGTGACTGTTTTATCATCCGTAATTTTATGTAATTTTTGAACACGAAAAAGAGGTTCTCATTGACTGCCAGCCATTTTTTGATGACTTCACTGATTTTTAAGACTCACAGAATATTGTGTGCTATGAAAAATATGAAACCAGAGTCAAAGACAGGACTGTCTACTTTCAGCAGCAAAAAGAAGTTTGTTCTTTGTTTGTTTCGTTCTCCTGTGATCTCCAGTCGAAAAGAGGAGAGTGTGACAAAAAGCACCAGTCTTAGACAAAAAAATTAGAAAATTAGGTTTTTGTGAAAACAGACGAACCTGCAGAAAAGTGATTGTAAAACTATTTAGTTTAACTTTAGCATCTCCTCAAACATGTCCAGGATCTTACATGTTAGAAAACAGCAACACGTTTTGAGAAAGTGTTTTTAATGTAAAATAATAAGTTTTATGGCACACACACCCACATCCACAAAGTGTTGCTCAAAAATTTCCAAATGTACTCATCCAAAAAATTTCAAAATTATATATTATAGTATAAGTGCAATAGAATACTGCTGTGTGTCTTTGTGTGTTTGGGCGCGCATATGCACGCGTTTGTGTGTTTTTGTGTGGTTACATCTACAGAGAGTCTGTTTAGTCCGGCGTGCGCTGTGACCATATCTGGACTTTGCTGCTGGCTCCTGGTGTGGACTCAGTGATAATTTTAGCAATAGTCCACTTTTCTGTGGCTTTTTTGAGGTGCTCCGCTGGTCTGCTGCTCTGACCCTCCACATGGTCTGCTGCTAGGACCCTCCACATGGTCTCTGTCAGCTCTGGAGACACATTTACTGCTCAAAATGCCTCCAAATGTAGCCTGACCCTGACTATATTACTCCATGTCTGCTTCACCTCTGTCTCTCCTGCTCAGAGTGCTCAGAGTGATCTTTGACCAAACCAGGGAGTTCTGCTGCCACCTGCTGGCTTAATAAAATACTGTCTACAGCCAAACCCCAGACTGTATGATACAGGGGACACAGACTGACAGGAAAAGATTGAAAAACAATGTTGTCCTCAAATGACATCCATGGCTGTCAATGAGTTAATCTCAATGGGAAAATTCCTGGTAAAATAAAAAACAAAACAAAAACACCATTTTTTTTTTTTTCACAGATTCTTTGGCGTACCCCTAGAGGGCGCCCGCGTACCACTAGGGGTACGCGTACCACTAGGGGTACGCGTACCCCAGTTTGAGAAACACTGTATTAGACAATGCCAGTATTATTCTATCCAATCACGCAGTATAAATATCCACAACCATCAAGCTTGTCTAATGCAAGGAGTAAATTAGGTACCCCAGCTTTAATTTCGTGAGCGCATAGGAGACACAGGGGAGACCTGCACTTGCAACAAGCTGGGGATGGTCTGAACGCGTTTCAATGGTTCTGTCCGCGTATGGTCCTGTCAGAAGAGTGTCTATGATCCTCTCCAACTGTCTATGATCCGCGTGTCTCACGTGTCTATGATCCGCGTATGGTCCTGATCGCGTGTCTATGGTCCTGTTCGCGTGTTTATGGTCCTGTCCGCCTGTCTATGGTCCTGTTCGCGTGTCTATGGTCCTGTCCGCGTGTCTATGGTCCTGTTCGCGTGTCTATGGTCCTGTTCGCGTGTCTATGGTCCTGTTTGTGTGTCTATGGTCCTGTCCGCGTGTCTATGGTCCTGTTCGCGTGTCTATGGTCCTGTTCGCGTGTCTATGGTCCTGTTCGCGTGTCTATGGTCCTGTTCGTGTGTCTATTGTCCTGTTTGCGTGTCTATGGTCCTGTTCGCGTGTTTATGGTCCTGTCTATGGTCCTGTCCGCCTGTCTATGGTCCTGTTCACGTGTTTATGGTCCTGTTCACGTGTTTATGGTCCTGTCTATGGTCCTGTTTGCGTGTCTATGGTCCTGTTCACGTGTCTATGGTCCTGTTCGCGTGTCTATGGTCCTGTTCACGTGTCTATGGTCCTGTCCGCGTGTTTATGGTCCTTTCCGCCTGTCTATGGTCCTGTTCACGTGTTTATGGTCCTGTCTATGGTCCGCGCTCGGAGCCCCGTTACAGCAGTGCTCTCACTGAGCTGTCTCAAAGCAGCTGTTTCCGGGGTCAGAGCGGAGGATGTAATGTAACGTTCGGTTTATCAACACATATCACAATTTTTAATTTATAAAACTAGTGAATTTCACCTAGATATTTTCAGAAATTAAAGAAAAGACGTTATATAATAATTATTTAATGAAAACACAATTTAGCCAAAAAAATGACACTCGACCTATTTTCACTGTTTACTCGGAACGTGCTAGCGCGACATCCGACGGGTTTTCCCAGATTGCATCACATATAGACTAAACCAGACTAAACCAGTCTAAACCAGACTAAACCAGACTAAACCAGACTAAACTAGACTAAACTAGACTAAACCAGACTAAACCAGACTAAATCAAACTAAACTAGACTAAACCAGACTAAACCAGACTAAACCAGTCGAAACCAGACTAAACCAGAATAAAACAGACTAAACCAGACTAAAACAGACTAAACCAGACTAAACTAGACTAAACCAGTCCAAACCAGTCTAAACCAAATAAAACAGTAAAACAAATGTCACTGTGAAATCGATCGACTAAAACAGTTTCAAAACAAGTGCTAATCATTAAAGTGCTCTGTTCACACTGATAACAGCTTGCGGAGGGAAGAAGCTGGAACATGGCTTTCCCAGGGTGGCCAGAAGAGTCATTAACAATCCTAAGAGCTTTGTTTAAAAGTCTGGATTTATAAAGAACCTCCAGAACAGGAAGCTCACAGCCCACGGTCCTCTTTGCAGAGCGGAGCACCTTGTTTAAAGCTCTCTTTTCTTTATCTGTGATGTTTCCAAACCACACAGACACAGAACCAACAAGTAAACTCTCAATGGTGCAGCGATAAAAGTTAAGCACAATCTTAGAGTTAGTGGTAAATTCTCTAAGTTTACGCAGAAAGTAGAGACGCTGACGAGCTTTCTTAACGACTCGGTCAGT